ATGATCATTTCTTGTTTTATCTTTTCCCATGACTCATCGTTTTGAAATATGTGGGTGAGGTAGAATTTGTAGGCCTCACCAGAGACGTAGTCGGTAAAGTTGACGATCATCTCCCGTTCCGACCATGGTGCAGTGGTTGCGTGGCGCTCGAACAGGTCGAACCAGTCATCTACAGGTCCATTGTCCGCTGCTACGGTGTATTTAGGGATGGGAAGGTCAGTCAATGATTCCGTCATGATGCTCAACGATGTCTACTACTAGGTGCTGGTTCGGTAGGTCATTTATGGTCAGGGTGTCTTGCGGAGAACCTTGTCAATGATGTGCGACTGATGAAGGGGCTGGCATGTCTCCATCCTGTCGGCTCGTGTGACGCTATGATGAATGGGAGACGTGGCCTGGCTCATACGCCATGTTTATTCCCTTCTCACTTTTTCCTTCTCGGCTTCTACTTCTAACTCCTAACCATCACTACCTTCTTACGTTACATATATATATATATATATATATATATATATATATATATATATATATATATATATATATGTGGGGGGGGGGTGACTCCATTCTTTATCATTCACTACATGGATATGCTGCCGATTTTTTTTCTTGCTTCTCCTCCTAGATTTCTAAATTCGAAGCATTTCTTAGCGAACTTCGGCGAATTTGAGCGTATCTATCTATCTATCTATACATTCAGCCACCTACGACTTTTCGCTCTCCTGGCCGTTTCTATTATGGTATCCATACGAAACTTGGTATGGCATAACATGACTGTATGAAGAACATATTTGACTAGTCATGAGATGAAAATCATGACATGTATATTATGAATGTCATGAATTCAATTTCATAGTCCTGCAGCTCTTGGGGTGGATTCATTCACATTACATGTTGCAAAACTGGTATGGTACGACAAGATTGCATGGCAAACACAAGCGACAGACCCTAACATGAAAATCATGTCATGCGCGTCATGTACAACATAACTACATGCCACGCTCATGATGCGCTCACGGCCATTTCGCTAGCGTCACATATATCAAATCTAGTATTACGGTACGTGAATAGATGACGAAGGTATGTGACTGGTACAAACATAATAATCATGAGATGTGTGTCATGTAACAACATAACTATATGCCATGCTCATGATGCGCTCGTGGCCATTTCGCTAGCTCCACATGTACCGAACTTGATATTACGCAACGCGAATGGATGCCATAGGTAAATGACACATCCAAACATCATAATCATGACATGCGTGTCATCTAACAACATAACTACATGCAACACTCATGATGCGCTCCCGGCCGTTTCGCTAGCTTCACATATGCCAAATTTGGCATTTCGTGACGTCAATGGATGACAAAGGTATGTGACTGGTGCGAACATGATAATCATGAGATGCGTGTCACATTGACTACATGCTACAGTAAAGTCTCCAATACATTTCGACGTGACGTGGTGTGCGTGCTGACCGGCATTCATTTCGTCACGTCACGCCGGCGTTGCCACGCCAGGCGCCGGTCCTGCTCGCAGGCAAGCGCTGCGCTGCGTTGCCTTGACGCATGCGCGTTTCAGTGCGTCCGGCGTCCCCCCATCACAAAAAGAGGGAGACGCAGTGTTGTCTGTGTAACGCATTGGCACGAAATGCAGCATGTCGCATTTCGCGCTGGTTGCCGTCGGGCCGCGCAAACGGACGTTGGTCGCGCCTTGCGTCAGACTATAGAGCGTCCGCATTTTGCTAACGCAGTGTCGCTGTTCCAAGCGTGCGCGCGCGTCAATGCTACTTTGCAGTAGTATATTGGGCCCTTCCGGATTCGCCAGCGCCCGTTTTGCTTGCTCCACTTATACCAAACTTAGTGTTAAGAGACATCAATGGAAGACAAAATATATGATTGGCGCGAACATGATAATCCTGACGCGTGTCATGTACGAACATGACAACATACCATGCTCATAGCGTGCTCGCGGTCGTTTCGCTCTCTCCACATATACTAAATTTGGTATCATGTGACGTGAATAGATGACGAAGGTAAACGACTCATAAAAGCATGATAATTATGACACGGAAGCCATGTACGGGATCATTTACCTCCACCTCGTAAAGTTGTGCTGATTTGAAAGTGACATATCAACATTTCTCATTCGTGCTTCGCATATCATCGATTCCCGCTGTACGTGAGATCTGCCTGTTTGTTCTTAATTTTGTATTTTTAACGCCCCCCCCCCCGGTTTTTTTTTCATATTTACCTTCTGTCCCCTTCCCTCCTGTCTCGAGACGCTATAGGAAGACACGGAAAACGTGTAAATATTATGCTTTTAAAAAACCGGGCTCCCGTCAAAACGTCGGCTGAATAAACAGTTGTTATAAGAAAGCGCACTTACTTTTCTTCTTTCATACCTGACACACACACACACACACACAGATATATATATATATATATATATATATATATATATATATATATATATATATATATATATATATATATATATA